TCGGGAACAGGCGCCCCTGCCGCTGGGAGGAGTGAGTGCCGGATCCTGCTCCTGAACGCCCAAGGTCAGCAGGAATCTCTGGGGCACAGCGAGGGGGTAGAGGTGGGCATTGAGTCGCTGCCTGGCCTTCGCCCAGAGCCTCTCCTGCTGCCTGGGGCCCGTGCTGGGAGCCTCAAGGGGCTACAGGGCCATCCACTGGGCAGGACCAGGCCAAGTGCCCCCTGAGGCATCTACAGCGGGCGCTTCCCTGCCCGCACGCGGCGCACAGTAGACCCTGGGCTCGTGTGCCGGGAGCGTCGTGCCCCGAGACCCAGGTGTTCACACAACATCCAAATCACATATTTCACAGAACATATCGTAGACATTAAGTGATGCATGACTGTGGTGAAAAAAATTACGCCCTCATGAAGTTTATATTCTTGAGGGAGAGGGGAAAAGAGAAAACAAGTAGTATGTATTATGGTGGTAACAGCTAGAGAGGAAGACAGCAGAGAATGGAGCTAGGGAGTAGGGGGAGAGTGGTGCAAAAACTTGAGAGACACTGACCAGGGAGATCTCCCTGAGAAGGTGACAGCTGAGTACAGACCTGAAGGAGGAAGGAAGCAAGCTATGTATATATCTAGGAAGAGTGTTCTAAGAAGAGGGAATAAAAACCAAACCCATTGCCGTCGAGTCAATTCCGACTCATAGCGGTCCTATAGGACATAGTAAAACTGTCCCACAGGGTTTCCAAGGAGCGGCAGGTGGATTCAAACTGCTGACTTATGAGTAGCAGCCATAGTTCTTAATCACTGTGCCACCGGGGCACCCAAGTACAAAGCCCCTGAGGTGGGCCTTTGGTTTCTTGTATGATTGTTTTCTCTCCTGAGCTGGATTGCAAGCAACTGGAAGGTAGGAATAATGCTTTAGAAATAATTTTGATTGACTTTTAGAAAGTATAGTATTTTACTGTACCTATTGAATTATGTGTCATTTGTAGGTATCACTCATTGTAAAAAAATTCTTAATTGAGACTATGCCTTTTTGTATCCCTCAGAAGGGGGATGCACAGCACAGAGGTGGACACATAGTATTGTTATTTGGTGCTGTTGAGTCAATTCCCAGTCACAGTGACCCCATGTGACGGAGTAGAACTACCCCATAGGGTTTTTTGGCTATATTCTTTACGGAAACAGATTGCCAGGTTTTTCCCCTGCAGAGTCGCAATGTGAGTTCGAACCACCAACATTTTCATTAGCAGCCAAGTGCTTAACTGTTGCGTGTCCTGGGTTCCTTGGACACATAAGTAGGGTTCAATAATTATTGGCTGTTTTTCAGTGTTTGATAGTGACATGTTTAAAATATTTTTGTTTTTTTAACAATTACTAATCCTACAGCTTTCCTGAGACAGTCTGTTTATTATCATCTGAGGGGCTATTTGTTCCTTTTCAGACTAGTTTTTACCTGTAGAATTCCTGCCATAGGGTGAACCTCAAATTTCAAGTTCTGTGAAGTGAACACTCTCCTTATCTTTTTTCTTTTCTTTTTTTTTTAAATTATTATTGTACTTTAGATGAAGGGTTACAGAAAAAACTAGCTTCTCATTAAATAATTAGTACACATATTGTTTTGTGACATTGGTTAACAACCCCACAACATGTCAACACTCTCCCTTCTCGACCTTGGGATCCCCATTACCAGCTTTCCTGTCCCCTCCTGCCTTCTCATCGTTGCCCCTGGGCTAGTGTGCCCATTTAGTCTCATTTTGTTTTATGGTCCTGTCTAATCTTTGGCTGAAAGGTGAACCTCAGGAGCAACTTCATTATTGAACTAAAAGGGTGTCTGGGGGCCATACTCTTGAGGTTTCTCCAGTCTCTGTCAGACCAGTAAGTCTGGTCTTTTTTTTTGTGAGGTACAATTTTGTTGTACATTTTTCTCCAGCTCTGTCCAGGACCCTCTATTGTGATCCCTGTCAGAGCAGTCAGTGGTGGTAGCCAGGTACCATCTAGTTGTACTGGACTCAGTCTGGTGGAGGCTGTGGTAGTTGTGGTCCATTAGTCCCTTGGACTAATCTTTCCCTTGTGTCTTTGGTTTTCTTCATTCTCCCTTGCTCCTGACAGGGTGAGACTAATGGAGTATCTTAGATGGCCACTCACAAGCTTTTAAGACCCCAGATGCTACTCACCAAAGTAGAATGTAGAACATTTTCTTTATAAACTATGTTATGCCAACTGAGCTAGATGTTCCCCAAGACCACGGTCCCCATAGATCTCAGCCCAGTAATTCAGTCCCTCAGGGAGTTTGGATATGTCTATGCAGCTTCCATGACCTTGCCTTGGACAAGTTGTGCTGGCTTCCCCAATACTGTGTACTGTCTTACCCTTCACCAGTCTTTTTTTCTTTTTTTTATTAGCTTCCTTTGAACCCCTGAAGACCCCTCAGCTAAAAGAGTAGAATTTTCAAGTGATTTTTTTTTTTTTGGTAGGGTAGCACTTCTAAGGCTTTTAGATTCAAAAACCTGGGGAGAATGTAAATGGTTGTACATTTCAGTGCAGGCAATGAAAATGAATCACATGACAAGAAATAGCCGACAGAATTTAGTCCTCATGTGAGTTGGCTTACCTTTTATGTCTTTGCCCTCTCACTCAGCTGTGGGCCCACAGAAGCATGCAGATTACACAACGCTCAGCCAGCTCTTCAGAAAATACTTTTGTTCCATGACCAGCTGAAGAGCATGTTGCACTGCATATCCAATTTCATAGCTGTAAAAAAATTGTGAGAAAGGAGAACAATGGTGAGCATTTTTAAATAATAAAAAGCTGAAATATATGTGTTTTTAGTAAATTCTTGTTCATTTAGGTGATGGGTCTCTTTTCCGTAGAACCAAGAGGCAAGGGATACATGCAGCCTAGAAAGGAGACAGACAGAGGGATAGAGGGACGGGAAGGGTGAGGGCAAGCCAGTAATTAGAAGCAGAAGTGCCAGGGAACAGCATAAGCATTGTTGTACCACAGGTGGATACATTTGATACCAAATAGGGAGAAGAGAAGTGCTAAGGGTGTTGGCAGGGAGTAGAGAAACAAGTTGAAGATAAATTTGGTAGCAAACCGTTGGCTTCCCCTCTGCTCTGAGGTGGCGCATTTTAAAATGCATGTTCTCATGTTCCTGTTGGCTTGGGCGCAGGGCTCAAAAAGAAGATGAATCCATATTTTTCAGATCTTGTCTTAGAACAAAATTTATGTACACTATGACTTTAGGCATAGTAAACCCATTGCCATTCAGTCAATTCCAACTGTTAGGGACCCTAGGCACAGTAAGCCCTAACTAAATGTTTGTGGTTGAAATTCTACATGGATCTAAAATAGGAATTTAAAAAGCCACACTTCACTGCACCCACCCCCGCCCCTTCTCTCTCGCTGATATTTGAAGTACAAGGCCTTGAAGTACATGTACTTGGCCTTGCATAGAATAAGCCTCTGATTTTTTGTTTTTGTTTTTGTTTTTCTTCTTTTCCTTTCACTCCCTCACTCTAGTACACCTGCTCTGGAGCTCCAGTCCCTTGAATGCTGCCTTTTCCTCTGTCTACCTTTTTCCTTCTCCTGCGTCTAGACTTCCTGGGGCATCATCTCCAGCAATCTAATGATAAGGGGAACGGAGTTTTCTTTCTCATTCTGTTACGTTAATTAACTGTTCTATTTTTATAGATAAAGGCAATATTGCCTGGATTGTGGTCTAAAGGCTCTGTGGGCTAAAGGGGAGCTTAGCTGCCTTGCAGTTAAGCTACTACATCACAAACCACAGGCATAGCGCCCAGAAGGAATTAAGTCCTCTAAATTAAGTCCTCTAAACTTAAAGTTGTTAGGTAAAAAATGTCACCATGACCTTTTTCCAGTATTTTTTTAAATTTGGACTTTATTTTTTGTTTGTTTTTTAAAACTTTCATTTATTTTTTTGATTAGGTAATAGTCACATGGAGCAATATTTTAAAAGTTCAAAAACGAAAACTCTCAACCCTACCCCCAGCTTAGTTCTATCCTCAAAGGAAACCAATGTACCAATGTCTTATGCATCCTTCTACATATGTTTTATACATATATAAGCAGATACACACACAAAAACATACACCCATACTCCTCCCTCCTTTTTTTTTTTTTTTCCATACAAAATAGCAGCATAGTATATACATTGTTCTACATCTTGCTTTTTTTTAGTCACCTGGCAATCTATCTTGGAGCTCACTCCATATGGTTGTGTTGCTGTTGTTGTTAGGTGCCATTGAGTCAATTCTGTCTCATAGTGACTGCATGTGACAGAGTAGGACTGCCCCATGGGGTTTTCTTGGCTATAATCTTTACAGAAGCAAATCACCAGGTCTTTCTCCCACAGAGTCTCTGGTTGCATTTGAACTGCCAACCTTCTGGTTCTCAGCTGAGTGCTTAACTGTTGCACCACCAAAACCAAACCAAATCAAACCTGTTGTTTTCGAGTCGATTCAGACTCATAGCAACCCTATAGGACAGAGTAGAACTGCCCCATACGGTTTCCAAGGAGCAACTGGTGGATTCAAACTGCTGGTTAGCAGCTGAGCTCTTAATCAGTGTGCCACCAGGGCTCTACTGCACCACCAGGGCTCCTTAATGAGTTACTAAAATTTCTTTCATTGTGGATTCCAAACACACATAAAACAGCTCACATAATGATAATTTCTCTTTCCTCATTTCTTGGTAGTTGATTTTCATCTGTGTTTTCCACTTGCTGGTAAATGATGTCTACCACAGGATGGCCCAGTCACATTCTTTGAATCACCTTTCAGATAAAATATAATCCTAATAAGCATTAGTGCTTTTGCCTGGAGGATAAGCGAACAACTTAATGTGATTGGGGCTCCGTAAGCACATTTGTTTCACACTACTGTTAGTTTAAGCCACATCCTGAAAGAGGTCCCTTAAGGTCATATAAAGAGGGCACTCTTAAGAAATGATCTCTCTTCTAAGGCTGTGGCATGTTTTCTCTTGTTTCAGAAACTAGAATGAACCGAAGCATTCCTGTGGAGGTTGATGAATCAGAACCATACCCAAGCCAGTTGCTGAAAGCAATCCCAGAATATTCCTTGGAACAGGACTCAGAACCACCTGCTCCAAATATAAGGAACATGGCACCCACCAGCTTGTCTGCCCTCCAAACCCCTTACTGTTCCTCAGGAGACTTTACTTGGGCTCACCCACCCCTGAAACTTGCAAATCACCAGTGGCCTGTGTCTGAGCAGGCCACCTGCCTGCGCAATAAAGTCCTGGAGGAGAGTGAAGACAGCTTCTGTAGGAGACACCCAGACCCGGGCAAAGATTTTCCCTTGGGCCCCTCTGCAGCCAGTGAGCCTGAGTCTGAGTCTGTGGTTGGACCCCTCCTCCCAGAGCATCAGTTTTCATTTACGGAAAAACGTAATCAATGGCTGGGATCTCAGCTTTCAGCAGCTTCTCCTGACACTGGCCATAACTCAGACAAATCAGACCAAAGTTCGCCTAATGCCTCCGCGGACTCCTCAGGCAGTAGCCAAGAGACGTTGCAAAGACCCCGGCCCCACAGGAACCCAGGAGCCCCAGATCTGCCTACTATAGACACTGGGTATGACTCTCAGCCCCAGGATGTCCTGGGCATCAGGCAGCTGGAAAGACCTCTGCCCCTCACCTCCGTGTGTTACCCCCAGGACCTCCCCAGACCTCTCAGATCCAGAGAGTTCCATCAGTTTGAACCTCAGAGGTATCCAGCGTGTGCACAGATGCTGCCTCCCAACCCTTCCCCACATGCTCAGTGGAACTATTATTACCATTGTCCTGGGGGTCCCGACCACCAGGTGCCATGTAAGTGACCTCTACTTCCTTGGACATTCTGGGCTGGGTAACTGAGTAAACAATGGCCTTGCGTCAGGATGCAGAGATGGCATTCTGTTTCTCATAGGCACTTTCCATATGGGGTTAGATTTGCAAAGGGTCTTGTTGTTAGGTGCTGTCCACTTCATCTCATAGCAACCCCATGTGGCAGAGTACAACTGCCTCATCAGGTTTTCTAAGCTGTAATCTTTACAGGGGAGCCCTGGTGACACAGTGGTTACGAGCTCAGCTGCTAACCAAAAGGTTAGCAGTTTGAATCCACCAGCCGCTCCTTGGAAACACTATGGGGCAGTTCTCCTCTGTCCTATAGAATCGCTATGAGTTAGAATCGGCTCAGCGGCAACAGGTTTAATCTTTATGGGAGCAGATCATCAGGTCTTTCTTCCGCAGAGCTGCTGGATGGGTTAGAACCACTAACCTTTTGGTTAACAGCTGAGTGCTTAACTGTTGTGTCACAAAGGGTCTTAGAGGAATGCTTTGCCTTAGCTCAAAGTCTGTCCCACTTGGAACCTCTTTCTCTAGGGACCCTTAAGGACAAAACAGAGTCTTCTGTTTGAGTTAGTTTAGCTGAAACCTGCTTAGAGGCAGGGAAATGATCCAAATAACCTCTAGAAAACTTGTTAATTGTCCTAATTCTTGGGCATCTGGATTCTTCTTTCTCTGCATTCTTCTTCTCCATCTTAACAGGAAGATGGGCTTTCAGTCAAAAAGTCAGAAGGTGCCCAGAGTGTCACTGAGACTCTGGATTCATGCTGTTACATGAAGATCAAGTTGCTCCTGTGATTTTGTTGCTTAAACCCCTTCCGAGACTTGCGTTCTCCACATCTACCCTGCATTCCAGCCGCACCATATGGCTGGTAGTCCCCCAAACTTGTTAAGCTGTTTCACATCTTGATACAATTGCCTATGCTATTTTCTCTATCCAAGATGTTCTTCCCCTTCTTGTCCATCTATCCCAGTTCTGTACGTTTTTTAATAGCTTTATTGAGCTCTAATTTACATACCATGAAATTCACCCTTTACCTGTTTTAAGTGTATAATTCAATGAATTTTACTATATTTACAGAGTTGTACAATCATCACCAGATAATCTTTTAAGACTTATCTCAAGTGTCCCTCTGGAAACCTCCTCAGACCTCTGGAAACCTCCTCAGACCACTGTCTCCTTGAGGCCTTCTGTCTCCCTTGTGCTCTGTCTCAGCACCTAATACTAGTATGGCATTTGCTCATGGACTTGTCTATCCCTCATTTCTGACTTGCTTTTGCACGTCAGTGTGTCTTTTTTTTTTTTTTAAGTAATATTCTCTTTTTATTTGAAATCTTTACTCCTGTTCCTGCATTTGCTAGTTTCCATGTACTATTTGCCATTGTTGTTAGGTGTTGTCAAGTTGATTTCAACTCATAGTGACCCCATGTGACAAGAGTAGAACTCCTCAATGGTGTCTTCTTAATCGATGATGCCCCAGCACTTATCACAGTGTCTGACATGGTACTAGACTCAGAAAATTATTTCTGAATGAATGAATGAACAATATGTGTCAGTGTGGTAAGAATATCTGAAAGTCTTAGAGATGAAAGGTCCATTATAACTATTAATGTTAAATTTTGCTGAAGCCATTGGAAAATAATAATGGGTTTTTCAGATGAAACACAGAGTTGTGAGATGTGATATTTTTCTTAGCGAGTTAAGTATTGTACAAAAAGCAGTTCAAATGGTGTAAGAAGAATCTGAACAAAGGCCTGATGCCCAGCCTTTAAAATAAATTATACAAATGATCACAAAGGCTGTAATCAACCGCAATTTATGTATGTGTACATAATACACTCAGTATAAAGCTTCCAAGGAACCCTGATAGCTTGATGGGTTGGCCGTTTGAACCCACTCAGCGGCTTTTGGGAAGAAAGACCTGGCAATCTGCTCCCACAAAGATTACAGCCAAGAAAACCCTATGCAGGTAGTTCTACTTGGTCACATGGGGTTGCTGTGAGTCAAAAATCAACTCGACAGCACCCAACAACAACAACATAAAGCTTCCTAAAGTGAATGGAGCAATTCATAATTTTTAAAAAAGGAAGGTAGAAAAATTTAATTCAGAAGATGCTTGGAAGAAACAAATAAAGATGACTGAGCCAGAAGCTGGGGAAGCAGCAGGGCTTGGGGAGAGGAGGAGAAAGAGCCCCTGAGGACTAACACTAGACCTAGGGTGGTGGATGTTGGGAAATCACCTGATTGGATGCATGGACTCACTGCTGCTCCAAGTGCCCAGTAACAGGAAGGGTGTGGCTGGTAGAGTTCCTTAAATATGAATCAGTGAGGACTGAACAAGGGCAAGTCCAAGGCTGTGTTTATTTCTCAGTGATTTCCAGGTTGAAAGGAATAATTCTGTGAGAATAATACCATAAACTATTTTTTAACAATGAGTTGGAATGGACTTGACAGCAGTGGGTTTGGTTTTTGGTTTCAGCATTTAAAAATTATTTTTCTGATCATAAAAGTAATACTTATTCACCCCAAAAATTGAAATATGCCAAAAGATTCAAAAAAGAAAGGAAAAAGTATCTGTATTTCTAATACCCAAATATAATTCCTTATTAGGGTTTTGGCATATTCTGGTGTTTTTTTCTTTGCATCTATATTTAATATAAAATTAAAATACTTTCCAATGTTGGCCCATGAACTTCTTGCAGTACCATTTTAAAATGCCTCATAGTATTTTTTCTGAAGGATCTACCAAATTGTTTGTAACCTATTCTCTATTGTTGGACATTTTAAACAGTTTCCGGTTTTTTGTTTCAATTAGCAGTGCTATGACACATATCACACACGTAAGTTTTTATCTGCATTACTGATGAAGGCTTTAGATTAATGTGTAGAAGTGTGACTACTTAGTCAGAGCTTTGTGATACTAAGCCTCAGATAGTTGCTCCTACTAACAGGAGAAAGCCTGATCATGATAGACAAAGAAAGCATTGACTCAATATTACAATTTGAGGGTCCCAGGAAGATCTTCCCATTTCAAAATATTTTCCCTGTTGAAGCTGAAATGGCACCATGAGCAATCCATTCTTTGGAGGTAAGCTTTGTCAGCTCTACGCAGGCACCTTTCAAATTCAAACAGCTTCCCTAATACCTCATGACCTGCTTTCTTTCATGAGATTGCCTTCCTTCTCTGTACGTGTTATGTCCTATTGACGGAGGGGAGGAGGGAGAGCCCTAGGACCCTTGGAGTGAAGAGAGGTGATGAAAGGCACTAGGAGAGAACTTGGGCAGGAGAAGGGAATAATTCACAGAAGCAGCCAATAAGCATATGAAATCAAGCTTAACATTACTAAATTTAAGAAATACAAATTTTAAAAAGACATCTTTTTCCTTGTTGGGTGCCATCAAGTTGATTCCAATGCATAGCAACCACACGTGACAGAGTAGAACTGTCCCATAGAGTCTTCTTGGCAGTAATCTTTATGGAAGCAGATCACCAGGCCTTTCTCCCGTGGAGCTGCTGGGTGGGTTTGAACACCCAACCTTTTGATTAGCAGTCACACACTTAACACGTGTACCACCAGGGCTCTTATTAACCAACCAAACTTGTTGCCATCAAGTCAATTTCGACTGACAGCAACCCTATAGGACAGAGTAGAACTGCCCTACAGGGTTTCCAAGAAGCGGCTGGTGGATTCCAACTGCCAACCTTTTGGTTAGCAGCTGAGCTCTTAACCACTGCACCACCAGGGCTCTTATTAGACGTGCGAAAAATCAAACTCTCACCCCAGAAAGCATGGCTCCTGGATTCTCTATCAGCCCAGAACTAAAACAATTTCCGAGGCCAACTCCAGACAGGGATTGGACTGGACTGAGGGACATAAAGTGATACTTGTGAGGAGTGTGCCTCTTAGCTCAAGTAGATACAAGAGACTAAACAGGCAGCTTCTGTCCGGAGATGAGATGGGAAGGCAGAGAGGGCTAGGAGCTGGTTGAATGGACATGGAGAATCAGGAGTGGAAAGGAGGAGTGTGCTGTCACAGAATGGGGTGAGCAATTAGGGTCACATAACAATGTATGTATAAAATTTTGTATGGGAGACTAACTTGAAATGTAAATTTCATTTAAACTACACCAATTAAAAAAAAAAAAAGAAACTCTCAGACAACATTGACTGTTAGTGTGTGGTTATGGGGAAATGAAACACTCCCAGGCACTCTTGGTAGGAGTGTAAACTGATACAATTTTCTAGAAGGCAGTGTCACTATCAAAATTTTAAATGTGCTTCCTCTTTGACACAGCAGTTTCACTTGTAGGAATCTATCCAATAGGAACATTCAACGAGCATATAAAAACACATAAACAAGGATGTTTATTAAAGCATTGTTTGAGTAAAAACGGAAACAAGTAAAATGTCTATCAATAAGAGGATAGATAAGTAAATTGTGATTTATTTATACAATGGACTATTAGGCTATGAGTCAGAATCAAGTCGACGGCCATGGGTTTGGTTTGTTGTTTGTTTTTTTAATTAGGCTCCCATTGGATAGAATAAAGTACACATTCTAACATAAAAAGATTAAGTGGAAAAGCAGAATGTACTGTTAATCTCATCTGTGTTTATTTTTTAAAAACTATATATGTTTGTATATACATTAAAAAGTCTATAAGGATTACCCCAACTGTCAACAGTGATCATGGTGGGGGGGGAGGTGGGGGGCAGAAGAGGGGAAGGAAGATTGAGAAAAGAGGAAGAGATTTTCCTTCTAACTTTATATACTTTTGTTAAGTATATATAAAAATATATTTGCTACAGCAAACATGTAATACTTTTATAATTAAAAAAAAAATTACAGTTAAAAAAAATAGTAAAGGGAAGAGAGAGTGCACGAAAGGCAGGATCACCCTGTGGGTGTGCCTTGGCCCTGGCTCCCAAGGGCATCAAGGAAAAGGGTCAGGGTTTTACCTGTTTTGTCAGGGAAGTCGGATG